GCAAGGAGCCCAAAGAGACTCCCAATGTGCCCTGTGCCCACAGGTAACCGCCACCCCCGCAACTCCCATTGGTTGCAGTTCCCGACCAATAGAAGCAGCGGAGCCAGTGCTCTGGGCGGGGGAAGCGCACGTATCCCTTGGGTCCCCCGTATGCCTGGGAGACACAGGGACCTGCCAGCCAGTTCCCGGGAGCTGTGTGGAGCCAGAGCAGGCAGACAACCTGCCTTAGCTCTGCCGCGCAGCCACCTGGACTTTTAACAGCCCTGTGGGCAGTGACTGGAGTCACCCGGGTCGCTTTTGACCGGCCTTCCGGTCAGAAACCGGACACCTGGTCACCCTACTACCGGTGTTAATGGAGCTTTGTTTGGGGGTCAGGGTCCCTTACAATGAAGGAGCCTGCAGGCTCGGGGCCTAAGAGATCAGCCAAACAAAATTATTCCCTTAAATCTAAACTATTACACTAGACACGATTTCCTTCTTGCTTTCCACGCCTGGTGAAACGTAGAACTAAGCAGGTCAGTTTCACTTTCGGTGAGAGTCAAGTTTAACCTCCTGTTTTACATGTACGCTAGGGGGGCAATGCTGGTTTTCACGGAGGGCTACAGCTCCACAGGGGTTTACTTGAAATTTAAAACCAGATCAATATCTATGTCAGCGCAGTGATCTGCGGAACCGTTCTCGTCAAAATATTGGTCAGAAAATTAGGTTTTCACATTTTTTGTTTTCTTGGAAAGCGTCCCTGTCTCTGACAATTTCTGACTTTGCATCAGAAATTAAAAAACAAAAAAAAACACAAAACCCAGAAACCAAAACATTTCCAGCTGTTCAAAACTGAAACAGTTTCAGTGTGGAGTTCCTTCAATGATCAATATCCTCCATGAAACAAAATCTCCAGTTTGCCAAAGAGTTCAACCTCTTGACCACGTCCTGCTTTTTTTAAACAGCAGATAAATTTTAGGCCTCAAACTAATTGACAGCATCCCTTAAAGTTCTCCACTCCCCCGATGTAAAACTACCTAGCTTGAATTTAATAGAGAGCAAATAATGGGTAGCCTAAACTATACATCTCTCAGGCAGGAGCTAATGACACCCACAGATCACTAGAATGGTTCGTGGTTAAGTCAGATTTGCAGCTGCTTTGCACAGACAGAACAGCATAAAACAGGGACATGAATCTGACCCTAAATCTGAAACAATCGATTGGTTCTTTGAATCTTCCTCAGGACTTCTCGCTTAGTCCTGCCAGGAGGGCGAGGGGGGGGGGGGTGATTCTGAAGGTCCCTTCCAGTTCTAGTGTTTTATAGATAGATAGATAGATAGATAGATAGATAGATAGATAGATAGATAGATAGATAGATAGATAGATAGATAGATAGATAGATAGATAGATAGATAGATAGATAGATAGATAGATAGATAGATAGATAGATAGATAGATAGATAGATAGATAGATAGATAGATAGATAGATAGATAGATAGATAGATAGATAGATAGATAGATAGATAGATAGATAGATAGATAGATAGATAGATAGATAGATAGATAGATAGATAGATAGATAGATAGATAGATAGATAGATAGATAGATAGATAGATAGATAGATAGATAGATAGATAGATAGATAGATAGATAGATAGATAGATAGATAGATAGATAGATAGATAGATAGATAGATAGATAGATAGATAGATAGATAGATAGATAGATAGATAGATAGATAGATAGATAGATAGATAGATAGATAGATAGATAGATAGATAGATAGATAGATAGATAGATAGATAGATAGATAGATAGATAGATAGATAGATAGATAGATAGATAGATGGGATGTATGAGGATAGAGATCGAGAGAGAGCGAGATCCATTTCATTTAGATTAGAGAGAGATTTCCAGCTTTCCTGGAAGTTAAACCACAAGCCCAAAGAAGCAGCAGGATCGGCTGAATAAGTTAACCGGAGCCTCGGGGCCGAAGCGGGCTCGTTTCTTACTTCAACACAATGAGTTTGCTGACGTGTTCTGATCTGGGGGGGCACGTCCAATGAGAGGCAGGCAGAGAACGGAAGGTGCAGGAGCTGTGGAGAGGTGGGAGGGTGGGGGAGGAGGGACAGAGAGTCAAGGGTGAACTAGGACACACCTGCTCCAATGACCTCTTCAATCTTCACGAAGGACACGTCGATCTCCTTGGCAAACTCGCGGACAGCCTCGTTGGGGTCCTCGTAAGTGAAGGGGTCGATGTAGATCTTCATCCCCGGGGAGCCTTCGGGGGGAGAGGCAGGAGAGAAAACAGAAGGTATTTAGGACAAGGGCTCTGAGAGCATCTTAGGTCTTTCTGGGTATGTCTACACTACCCCGCTAGTTCGAACTAGGAGGGTAATGTAGGCATACCGCACTTGCAAATGAAGCCCAGGATTTGAATTTCCCGGGCTTCATTTGCATAAGCCGGGCGCCGCCATTTTAAATTCCACAAGGAGTACAGCTAGTTCGGATTAGAAGCCTAATCCGAACTAGCTACTCCGTGCCATGTGTAGCCGCGCAGCACGGGGTTCGAACTAGCCGGGATTTAAAAATGGCGGTGCCCGGACTATCCCCATGGAGCCCAGGAA